TACCACCGGAGCTTGTATAGATCTATTTCTTTCTTCAATACCTAGCGGTTAAGATGAAACTAGAATAAGAGCGAAGAAAGATTTGATAGTTCTGCCAAACACTTGAGCTAAATGAGGTTTACAAAATTCAGTATAATGGAACCTTCATACTTTATAGTGAAGTTCCTACCCCTGCATCGTTCAATTTCATAACAATTTCAGCTTGCATGTAATAATCTATCTTACAATTAAATCATATTACCTAATCTGATCACCTTCTGGATACTTACCCAAAACGCTCAAGCATTTTTCGCTCATTTTCGACACGGTGTTTCTGAGCATGTGAACTTTAAACATGAGGGGCTGAGAAGCAAGCAAGAGATTTAGCCTCAATTATTGCAAACTTGTTCTCATCAGTGCTTATCATCAAGACAAAAAATTAAGTTCACAAGTTTTCAAACAGTCATGTAAGCTATTTCGATTATACTTGTAAGCTTGAATGCTCATAAGACTTACTCTAATAATTTCTAATTTTATTGCATCTTACAAGCTGTAAGTTTCTCATTAATTAACACCATATAAAACATCTGGTTTAAGAAACTGAAACAGTCGAAAAAAGAATGTACATGAAAGATGTATTTCACTTACGTTTAACCGCAAACTTTTTTCCATCATTTTTTCTCTGAGCCCTGTAAATAGTACCATAACCACCTAGATGATCGAGTGTGATATATGGCAGAAAAACAATCAAAAGTCTGAACATACATAACTCATCAGTAAACAGGACATAGAAATAAATTCTGAATACCTGAACCTTCTTCTTCCTCTATGATAAACTTGTCGAACTGAGGTAGTTGTATTCTCTCCAACTGGTTCAACAAAGAAACCATTTAACATCTTGAAGATCCTTCACATTTAACTAGCTGATCCCGAAACAGCACCAGTAGCAGTTAAAATAATGCTACTTACCTTTGGAGATATAGAAGTAGTATCCACCGTATTTTCTTTTTCATGCATGTTATTTTTCTTGCTATTCTTCAAGTTATGTTCTATAGAAGGAAATTTCTGAGCACTTTTACATGGATTCTCTTGTTTGGAAGGGATAACAACTTTTTATATTCCAATGACTCCACAAGAACTCGTTGGGAAGGCAAATTCTGGTACAAGCCCTTCAATTTTCTGGATGATTTTGCAAGCTGCTTCGGAGGGGAAGGGCATTCATCTACTAGGTGGTTGGGCTTAGTCTCTGCCTTTTTGATACCCTGTTCTTTCTCCAAGTTTATTTTTACAGACTTTCTAGAGTCCAAGCAATATGCTAGTCCTTTCCCATGTGCAGCAAGCTTCCCCAATGGAACAAGATTTTCAGCTTCTTCTGTTCCAAATTCAGTAAAACCTTCCTCTACACTATTTTCCACCAGAGTTTGTGCATCTTTTTTTAATTGATCCACTGAAGCTTTGCAAGAATGAGTATCAGGAATGCCCCCATCCATATTGCTTTGTTTGTCTTTCTCTAAGAAAAATGTGGCAGTATAATCTGTTTCATTTTCTAATCTTCCATTACTAGCCAAGGCTTCCTGGAATGGTTTCCAATCACGATTACTTGGTGTAGGTAAGCTCTGATCAGGCAAGCATGCCTTACCTCTATCAACTTGAACTGGCTTCAGAATGCATGAACCTGTGTCAGTGTTGAGAAGACTATGATGTAAATTGGGCGCATCTACAGATCCAGGGCATTCTTTATGCATTAAAATGTTCAACCAAACATCAGCATCACCGTCGCCATGTTCCAAATGTGTCACGCGAAAACTTGAAAACTCAGCATTGGAGTGAATCAGTAATGGAACCAAACATTTCTCGTCATTTGAATTGTTCTAATAAAAAATTGTGGCAGGAAAAGTAACAGAAGTCAACAAATAAAGTTATTCTGATAAATCTCAACATTTCCCAGCTAAGGGGCAATACTTGCATCTTGCTGACAGTAACAAACTGAGAAGTCTGAAGTTGAAATTACAGAACATATAACCAATGGTGAATAATGCAAGTCAAAAAATTCCAAACCATGTTAACTCACTGATGTCAATTTTAACATGTAATTATTACAGCTAGCATAAATAAGAAACGGATGCAAAATTGAACACATTCAACGATTTGCAAGGGTTCATGTTCATAGCTTTTACTAAAAAAAGAAACTAGGAGGAATTGGTTTTGGGACCATTTGACTACCAACAGTTGAAACTGTATTTACAGATAAAAAATTGAACACTCAAAAGAGAAGTGGGTGTTCCTCTTGGACACAAGTTCCCCCTACACAGAAACAAAAAGAACCCATTTCACCAAAACAAATTCCAAGTCCAAAAATCCACATAAACCAAAAATTAAACACTACCCAACATGGAAAATAGGTACCTTTAGTATTAGGAACATCTATAACTGGAATTACAATTACATAAACTGATCACAAGTACAGAATGAATTGAATAAAAAACGTGCTAGCTCTCCTAAAAAACCATGTACTTGTAATCGTTTTGTGGTTCAAAAACCATGTACTTACATCTGATATCAATTAAAGAATAAACTAGAAAATAAGAAACGTGTTCTCCGAGAAATCAGAAGGCTCGGCACTGCCTGGAGCTAGTCAGAAACTTGTTCTTTGTGAAAACCAGACCTCGTCCCGGCTTAGACGGCAAGGGCAAGTTCTTGATGTCGATAACTTCAATTTTCTCTCGCTTGTTTTGAAACTCTTGACAGCCTTGGTGGAGCTTTCGAACACTAGTCTCCAACTTCTTTTCCTCATCCCAATCTTGCCGATGACGATGAGGATCAGATTGATTGGGCCCCTTAGGGTTTTGTTGACAAGAAGATGGAGGTGGTGTGATTAGCATCATGCGGACGGTCTCCAAATCCTTGCCTTTGCCGTGAGATGGTTTCTTGGGCTTCTCCAGAATTGCCAAGTCGCGCTCATCAAGTTTGATGTCGTCGAATAAGTTGTAGGGATCGCAAATCATGGTTTCAAGGATGAAGACAGCTTCAAGGTCGTCCAGCGGAGGGCAAGGGAGTCCACCAAAGTCGTCATCGTCAACAGGAGGCTCTCGCTCGCATCGCTGTTCCTTCAAAGCCGTCATCTTGTCTGAAAGAGAAAAGTAGGGTCGCGACTCGATCGTTTGAAAGAGAAAAGACTATAGCAAATTTTGGAAACCCTAAATCACAGTAGCCAGTGTTTACAAAAGGCTCAGGCTACATATGTATTTATAGCTTTTTGTTCCCTAATCTCATGGGAAAAACGAATATTTTATTCTAATTAATTCTATTGCACTTTCTAAACCCCAACTTGCAAATGGCCCACTCGTGTATTTGTGTTTGTGTTGTGGGGTTCAATTTGCTTTATAACTACGCAAGCGAAGTTGCTGAATACAATTATTTTCCTCGTCAAGTTTTTAAAGTTTCTATCCACATCACCAACTAACGAAAATTCTAACGGTAAGCTAACGCCACTAGTGTGCGGGTACAACTTCAGAGTACCGAACTGAAATTAACCCAATTTTTAGTATGTTTGAACTGAGAATATTTCAAGGAACGTACGGTATTTTGATATCAGATTCAGACCCAAAGAAACCTTTGAAGGAATATATTTAGTTGAGAAAACATAATGGTCAAGTTAATACTATAAAATTCCAGAACAAGGTTTTAAAGGTATATTAATCCGATTTGACACCCAAGATGAAATCCGTTTGAATACTTTCTTTTTTGGCTGAGGTTACATACTGCACAATCAACTGCCGCAACCCCAAAACACGCGCACACACAGAGGAGAATGCACTGAAAATCTAGAGCTTTCGCAGCAAATTGTAGCATTCCATTTTGGCTTACATTCCGAAATCCCCTCTCATAATCATCCAAGTAACAAAAATTACAAAAACTGTCAATTATTAGGCCTACATAGTAAAAATGTCAATTCTATGGAAAAGCATACACAACCGATGAATGCAACTTGTCTGGCAGACACTTGATACTCTGTTACATCTTATATAGGCTTGATCTTGAAGTGGAGAGAGATGAGTGAGAACACAAAGCACTTCAGATCCTGCAATCAAATACAAGCATAATTGAGAAACAGTGTTGGGTGAAAAAAAACTCATGCTGAGTCACTGACAGACATGAACTATAGAAATCACGTCAAAATAAAACTCATATAAGAGGGTTAAAAACTAGGACGTCTCGACTCATAAATGGAATACTTAAAGTGGACAGACTAGCATAATTTGTTCTCTCTTTCTAAGACAGATAAGTGAAGAAGAATCCATTGAATAGTAGAAACAAATTTCGACCAAAGAAGCTCACACCACGCAGCAATTTACACGTTGAGTCAGAACAGTAAGAGCTAACAACCATCGATCCATACATATACCGTAGGAATCCAGAAAAGTAAAGGCATATCTTAATACAATAAAATGAAAGTCCAAATCAACTGACCTGAACAAGATAATAAAAGATGCGAAGACCTTCAGGATCCTTACTACTCTGGACATCAACAAGGGATCCAATCTTTGAAGTAGTAAAGGAGATATGCTCATTCCCCATTACAATTTCAAGCTCCTGCCGCCCAACACGGTCAGGTTCTGGCCAGTTGACATCATCTTCCTTCAAGATCTAAAGATAAGCAAAAATGCAACCAATTTAGGAAACCAGGATGACGATACTCACTAACCAAATTCTGGGAAGAATAGATCAATCAATTTGCACAAACAGTCAACATGAAGGGTAACAATCCTACAATTAGTTTGACCAGAGTCTGAGAAACGATTTTCACTGTGTAATTTCTTTTTGGTAAGCACTTCCACTGTTCAGTAAGATACAATTAATGGGCATTTGTTTTCCATCATTTCATAAGACATAGCTGATGCCACGGTGCCACCCAATTCTTTCAATTCTTATTGATTAATTGGAAAGAAAAAGAACTTCCAACATTTAGAGGTGATTTGCTTGCTCTTAATTCCAAAAATCCAATTGGTGTTAACTTTAACTAAAGCCTTCAGATTGCTTGCAACATTCCACAGAAACCCAAACTACAGAAATGTTAATTCAATAAAATCAAATCACAACAGTCATAAACAACATCAGGAAACCAGAAGCTCGCAGTTATTAATTTAATACAATTGTTTTCCATAGTATCAGCTGAAAACAGGAAACTTATGGAGTTTATTTTCTCTAATATTTGCCTCCTTTGTGTCAGCAACCAGACTATTTGTAAACAAACGGACTCTGAACTCTGAAGAACTACGGAGAAAATTTTCAATTAAACAAATTGCAGAGAATGGTGACTAATCCATGTTTTGGTGCCTTTGTCTAGAGATAAAAGTAGAGGAGAATAAGACTTTCTGCTGCCCTATTTTAGATTTTTATGTACACTTATAGTATAAATGGGATGTAACCCATGCCATCTTTTGAACATAACTCTCTTCCTTATCCAGACAAAAGGAAAAAATATGGTGAGAGGAGCAAAATCATATCTTATCTCATCACAATACAGAAAAAGACATTCATAATCTAAAGAAGAAAGTTAAGCCTGGTCATAACTGTCCAATCATAACCATCCATGCATGTCATGGCTCAGGTCAGGAGCTCAACAGTCAGTTACAACTGAACAGTCGCAATTGTCCTTACCAATTCCCTAATCTCAAGTTTTCCACTTTTCTCTCAACCACCAAGCACGAAACCAGGAAACTTGAAACAAAAATTAATACTGAAACCATACATTAAATCACATCTATAAACAACTACTGATCTATTACTTACAAGGACTAAACAAATAAATAACTTATTTTTTCTCAATCTCCTTTGACTCCTTGACAACAAAATAAAAAATCCTAAGCCCTCAATTCCACGACTTATAACAGTCATAAAATTAAATGCATTCATGTCTCCTACACAAGACAAATGAAAGCCCTGGTTACAAACTCAACCCATCTTATTCTCTTCAACCTCAAATCTCTCAGGAACCACAGACAAACCAAATACTGAAACGAAAATCAATTAACATAAAACTAATAATAAAATAAATAGACATGAAAACCCCAAAACCCTCCAACCCTAAAAGTCTCCTCAAGCTTACACCGAAACCTCACATCTTTTCCCTCCTTACATTCTGAGAAAGCAAACACAGGAAATCCCACAAACCCAAATTCCACTCCAACCCATCAAATTTCCTAGAACAAACACAAAATCACACAACTAAATTCCATTATACCTAAATAATTTACCAAAACAAACCCAAACCCACATGGTCAAATTCCCACATATAAACCCTAGAACAAACACAAAATCACACAACTAAATTCCATTATACCTAAATAATTTACCAAAACAAACCCAAACCCACATGGTCAAATTCCCACATATAAACACACCCTGGCTCATGGGTTGCCCTTGAAAAACTGGCGGCTTGCAAGGGAAGGGTGTCTATGTGCTCATATACTACTCCAAATTATTTCCTTTCAATGTAGGAAATTAGGGACATTGCACAACCCCACAAAAATCTCCCTAAACAAATACGAACCCTTTTTCAACAAATTAATTAACAAAATACCATAAACCCTAAAACCCAACAACAAAAACTAATAGAGAGATCATAAGTAATTAAAACAAAGAAATTAGGAGTTGCAGACCTCGCTCTCTGAAATGATACGACGACACTCTCTGACAACGGCAGGCGTGACATAGACCTCCTTGCGGATGATGGTGTCGTTCTTGTAGTTGGAGTTGTTGGCGTAGCGGAGCTTCCCGTCGGGTCGAAACTCGAATTCCAAGAACTCGTGCCCGAACTTGCCCTTGTGCCCCACGTAGTACCTCAGGTAGAACTCGCTGTTCTCTTCCTCACCAGCCATCTCTCTGTCTCTATCTGTTTCTCTCTTGTTAGATGAAGGAGGAACGAGGAAAGGGTTTAGATTTAGGATTTTTAGCTAATAAAAAAGGGAGAGGTTGGAGAGTTGAATATTGTGGATTGAGCTAGGAATGAATTTTTATAGGGCCAGGCCAAAAAATTGATATGTGTCTTGTTGGGCTGGTTCTAATGGGGATGCAGTGTATTGGGCTCGCTGGGTAGGTCATCAAATTTTATTTATTTTTTATTTGGTAGGGGTTTTTTTAAGGCTTTTAATTACAAAACATTCAAGAGGATTAGGAAACTATCAGGTTGCATTTTTTTTGTTCTTTTTGTCATTTGTGGTTCTCAAGATTAATATACGTGCTCACAAATAGTCCATTCTATTAGGTTCAGTAATTTTTTAAAAAAACAATTTTAATTAATAAATTTTTAAAAAATGATTTTTCCATTTTGAAATTCTTTAAACATTTAAATTCACATAACATAATATTATTACATTTATGGGCTCCATATATTGCCACATTAGCAAACTAACGAATTTTTTTTAACAAAACCTAACCGCATGGACATTTTGTAACAACAATTCTTTGTGTGTGTGTTCTTTTTTTTCTTCTTCTTAAATTCTAAGTCAAAAGGGAAAAAAGGAGAAATCTTGGACAAGATTATAGTTTGGTGGGTAACTTGGATAAATGCTAGGTTTGTAGAAAAGCACTCTTGTTCTCTTGTTTTATTCTCACGAAATTCCATTAGTTTTTGGGTTAGGTTCTTTGGTCGGTTGATTAAGTCAAACACATTACTTAAATGGTGATGGATGCAAAGTGTTAAAGATTAAAACATACAATTAGAATAACCGAAACAAAAAGAACAACCAATTGTCGTCCATCCATAATATCATACTAGCCTCTCTGCATGCGCTTCCACGCCTGCGAGGCTTTTTAAAAGAAAAAATTAAATTTATTTTAAAATTAAAAAAGATAATGGGTAGTTGTGTTCCATAAAAAGAGAATCCATTATTTGATTTTTCTTTTAATTTTAAATTTTTTAAATATGAAAAAGAGTAAATTTACCATATTATCCTCACTTAATTAATAATTTCAATTCTTAATGTTTGCATTAACCAAGGACATTTTCTGGTATTTTGAATGTTTCACCATTCTCTGCCTTTTGCTTTATATATATAGATAATATAAACATAAAAAAATCTAACATCTCTCATCTAACATCACACCAATTCAACACAATACAACATAACAATATGTCTGGTCAATTATTAGAAAGAAGAAAGAAAAAGATCAACCGCACTGCCTCCTCCCTAGCCCATGAATGCAACCAAGGTTGCCAGCGCAAGTGGAACCCCAAGCATATTCATGCTAAGAGCTGCTGCTCCGGAAGGTGGCGGGGGTGGCGGGGGTGGCGGAGACGAACCATTATTGCTGGCAGGAGTGGTGGACGGAGACGGAGTGGTGGTGGGTGGAGACGGGGTTGTGGCTGGTGGAGGTGGAGTGGTGGGAGAAGTGGTAGGGGGGCTGCCAGCTGCAACAACAGTGACTGTAAGCTTCATGCCATTGGCACAGTGACCTGGAGTAGGGCAGATGAAGTAGACTGGACCAGCTTGTGAGAGGGGGATTGATGTGTTCCCACCGCTATGGGTTCCGATGGCATTGCTTGAACTGCAACTACTGTAGCCTGCTTGATTTACTTGATCCACTGAGTGGGAAGCACCATAGGTGAACACTGGTAAGATCAAAAATTTTGGTCAGCAGATGTTACATCAAATTGACACACACACATATATATGTAACATGTTTCATATTTCGCCAAGTGCCCATTCCCAATTTTTGATAGAAAGTAAACCAGAATTAAAACAACCACACCACCACGTTATGTGCCGTTAGATGAGTTTAATTTAATAATCTACTAACTCTCGGAATCCCAAAAATAAAACAAATATGGATTTTAATTTCAGTTGTATAGATCTGATTAACAATGAGAAAGTAAGAAAGAGCTTACAAAGGGTGTCACCAACAGTGAAGGTTTTACTAGCAGCCCAAGTGACATAATCTACATTTGAGTCCCAGCCATCTGTGTCACCAACAGTGTGCTGCACTCCATAAACTGCTGGGGCTGCAAGCAGCAAAATTACTAGAGCTGTTGCTATGGCCATGTCTCAAGTCTTCTCTGTGTTTTTGAGAGAGAGAGAGAGAGAGAGAGAGAGAGAGAGAGAGAAAGAAGGAGAGAGTTGAGGAGCTTTAAAAATGCAAACATGTCATATATAGACAGCTAGGTGAAGGTATAAGAAGTTGTTCGTAATATACAATAGAGGGAAAGTCATTCACCTACCAAATAATACCTTTATTTGGTTCCAGTGCATACCATTTTCTTGCTACCAAAACAATTATATAAAAGTTTAGTTGTTATTGGCTTAGTGGAGGTGTTGCACATTCAGAATCTTCCTTCTTCATTAAAAAGTTTACTTATAAAATATTATAAAGCTAGAAAGCCAAAAGTCCCAACTCTATCCAATCAAGCACAAGGTCAATATATGTCTCTATCAATCCGGCCGGATTGACCAAACGGCCGATCTGAATTATAATATCCAATTTGGTTGGGTTTTGATGGTAAAAAGTCAAACGGTTTAAAACCGAACAAAACCATATCGATTTTGATCGGTTGCGAGTTTTTGTAAATTGACATAAACGGTTTCATGGCATGTTGAATTTTAGGGTGGTTTGATGTGTTAGAAAATGAAAAATTTATAGCAAGTTATGAATTTTGTATATTGTAATTGAGCTAACAAAGTTGAAAAATGTAAAAGAAAAAAGGATTGGTAGGCCAAAACTTGCGGAACCAAATTATCCAAAATTGGTTTGGTTTAGTTTAGGTTCCTTAGTGGTTTTTGTCAAAATTAAAACAAACTAAACCATGTTATTGTAATTAATTCAGTTGTAATTTCATGGTCAAATCGATCCAATCCAGACTATACTGGGGTGGGTTACATTTATACATGCAACATTTCACCACTTCTAACTCTATTTTTATAATTTCTTTTCTATTGCCACCTAACATAGAGATAAGGAACATCATCATGTAGAGATTAGGTAAACCTTGAACCCACCACACATCTTCAAATATAGAAAAAGGTATTTGTTATACTGGGAAAATGATTGTTGACTATGTAAAAACTAAAGGAAACCGATGGAGTTGTTAGAGCGTGCATTATTCTACTCATGTAGCCATGTTCTTGTTTTCTTTCCAATGACATAACTTTGAAGCCCAAAATCAGCGATGACCCGTCCACGTTGGTAGTTTATAGGATAAGGATATATATAAATGAATTTTCAAATAATTTTATTTGAGGGACACCCTTTGGGGTTCTTTACAAATATTTTTTTCGACGATCGAAACCATCTATTTTTTAAGTCTACATTCATAGATTATCCTTGTAAAAAATTAGACAAATCAGAAGCTATTTCGATATCCAATTATGTCCTACAAAATCAATGAACACGGTAGTTCAAGAAAGTACTAAAATTTTAATAATTCAATTGAGTGGTCAAATGATATCGAATTTAAGTGATTTTTTTTATAGAGATGATCTTTGAATGAGTATCTACAAAATAGACGATTTGAATTAGTAAAATATAACACGGAATGAGCCCTATAAGGATGTTCTTCAAATAAGCTTATTTGATTACAAAATGTGGAGATTCATTCACATACTCAACTAGCCATCGGAATTTCCTGCTATGTGTCATGATTTGAATAATTCTATCTTCTTATTGACTTTCTTTCATAATCGCAATAGGCAAATTCCTAATGATTGAAACATTCTACGAGCTTCAATTAATTTATAATTTTGTTGTTTATGAGGTGAGTATGACATAATAGTTGAATTCTGTTTTTCTTCTTTTGAAATAGTCGTTCTTATACCTCATAAGGGCTTATTGAATATCGCCTGGCGATACCCAAAGGTGGGACGGCAGCAGCGGAGCTAATTTATTTGTTGGCTAAATTGTAACCGTGGTTATTGAATTATACATTGATTTGCATTTTCGTCTATAAATTTTAATAATAGTTAATGTCGTTCTTAAAGAAAAAAAAAATTATCTCAACTAAATAAAAGTAAGAAGATCTTATTAAAAAATAAAAAGGGTTAATTTTACTCTTCCAAATAAAATTAAAAAATTAATAACTTCCAAGAAATCCAGAAAAATCAAAGCTTTGGAATTTGGATGAAAAAATAGTCCGTTTGTCGTGCCAAACTCACCCAGTAGCAGTCCTAGTTTCTGTCTAATAACTCCAATCTGTATTTCTCCCAGGTAAACACTCAACCGCGCAGTTTATTTGACATTTAGAAATGAATTTATGAATTTATTTTACCTTTCTTTTTGTTGAGTTATTTGGTGGTTTCTGTTTGTATGATTTGATTGAATTGAGATTTGGGTTTTTTCTTTTCTTCGTTATTTGGCAGTCTTGGCCGCCTGAGATGGGTGCCTAACTTTTACTGTAAATAATGCTGATTGATTGGGAATCTTGAATTGGGTTTTCTCTGTTTCTTTTTTGGGTATCAAAGTGTTTTGGAAAGAATCAATTCATTTAATATTCAAGACTTAGTCCATATATAATGAAACTTTTCCCTTGGGATGTTGCTTTTTCTTAGTATATGGATGATGGTAGGGTGGATGAGCAACTCTGCAAATGTTTTTTTTTACCTCATATATTTAGATGATATGATATGAATCATATGAGGATGGAGGAGGGATACAAATATTCTGTACTTTCTGTAGAATCAAGATTCTGAATGATAGAAACCCAACCATTACTCTGTTTATTTGAATTTGAATGTGTACCCATGTAGAAGCGTGTACATATGTCGAAAGCCGGTTGTTGTTTTGGTTTACTTCAGCCTGCCTCTAGCTAGTTATGGTATAACATGATACTAATTTTTTTTACAATAAGTAGGCTTTCAGTCAAACGGTTCATGTATTAAGCCTTTTTTTCTTTTCAAAGTAGGTTTGGTTTGTCTCATTGTTGTTTGGTATGATTTGTTTGCTTAAAACAAACGTTAAATTGTTGTGGACTATTTGAGTGCTGTTTTGTTGTTGTGTTAATGTTATTTCTTAAAATAGATGTCCATGGGGAGTCCATATTTAACTCCATCGTCGTTAAGTGAAGATGGGGATACGAAGTTGGAGGAAAAAAAAACTGCATCAGCAGCATTCTTTCCGTCCTTCGAAATGCTTAATCTCTCTAAATTTCCTAATTTGAGTGGATGGTGGAAGAAAATTGAGCAGCAAAATCATCATCTATTAGTCTCATCATTTCCTCGTACCGTTTACTTGTATATCAATGGCTGCCCTAAGTTGACTTCCTTCCCATTATAACCACAATTTGAAGAACTATATCTAAAGAATATCAATGAAATATTATACTATTAACCATGACAACTGAAAGGAAGTCTGATAATCAAGAACATTTCCCTGTTTCTGATCAGTTGAAGTTCTGTCTCTTGTGGGGATCCAGGATTTAGAGTCACTGCCCGAGAAGTGGCTGCGTGGCATCACTTATCTAGAGGATGTGTTTCTTATGTACTGCCCTAAGCTAAGAATGTCCCTGACGCAACTTAGGCAACTTCTTAGCACAGTTGAAAGCTTCAGGATAGGTAGTTCTGAGGAATTTGATGTGTTCAATAATGAGGATCATGGCAGCATATGGGGAGATAACTTAACCTTTGCCGCCTACACATCCAAAATGTGTGGTGGAATGAATTGACAAAGAAACAGGGAAGGTTGGCCTGAAATTCCTCGTGTCCCGAACTTAACACAGGGCCTGGATCCTTGGGAAAGTGATTTAGAAACTGATTCATCTTCGACTTCCTGAGGTATGTGTATATACACTATCTGATGCAAATGCTTCATCTACAATCCTATACTGTTTTTCTTCTTTTAGTCTTATCTTGTTCTTTAGGCTTCTGATAGTTAATGTTTCTTGATTCATATGCAAAACTTAAATATAAAAAATGACCCTTGGCATAATAGTTGTAGTTCTCTCAAATCTTGGAGACGGCATCTCTGCTGCAGGGCAGCAAGTGGTGGTGACCTGTTCCATGTTGTCTATTTTTGTTTCTGCGTGACTTTTATTTCGAATTTGATCTCTTCTCATATTAAGGGAAGAAAAAGAAGAGATTGTGCTCCCCTCTATTTCTTTCTTTAATGTAGTGATTTACTTTCTATTTTTGGTGTATCTGAACTTGCTTTGATGATCAATTAATGTTTTTGCTTACTTTCTTGATGATTGCATAATAGATGGAATCTGGCAGTAGGCGACGATGAAGTAGTAATACGAACTTATGGAGGAACGTCAACGTTGATGGAATGATGCTAGATGGAAATTTGTTTACCAAATGACTCCTGCAGGCACAACAGCTGCACACAGGCACTATACTTGCACACCAGAGGTTGCTCTTCATATAGGCATAGCAATTGTTACACAAAGCATGAAGTAGAGAATCATATTTTGGAAACATTTTCTGGAACTATGGATAACATCAAGATTAAGACAACGTTTAGTTAATTAGTTAAAGTAGTTATGATTCTATTGAAACTCGTTAACAGAGCAAGTCTTTAGACGAAGCTTGTGTTTCTTAAAGGGTGCAGAGGCCATGTTTTTTTGGAACTTGTAATGAAGTTTCAATTCAGAGCTTTCTCTATTGTATTTCTTCTTCTTTAGCCATAAATGGCCTTTCTTCTTCTCTACAAGATTGTGAATTTCATGAACATGTTCAAGGATTGGTCTTAGACTGCTCAAATCCTGAAAACCGAGGTCGATTCCAGTACGATCTCACACTTCTCTGTTTATTGCTATAATTTCATTTGTCTTTCGACCTTAAATCAATTTGGGATGATCAGTCACATGTTGATGATGAATTTTCTCTATGGTTTTAAATCCTGCATGCACAATATCAAGGGTATAGGCTACAAACACAACAGGGACGTGAGAAAGTACTTGAGGCCAGAGCCTCATCAAATATTTATTTATTTTTTTGGTTCTGGCCAAAAGTAAATTAAAAATGAATAAATAAATTTCTTTTTTTAGAAAATGATGTCTGCCTCCCTTGCTCTGCCCATCTGCTGCAACTTGCCAAATTTAAAGGCACTTGCATCATTAATTCAAACAAAAAGCAG